CCTTTCATCCCACAGTTTGACACTAAGATCATCTTCTGATGAGAAAGTTGGAGCGTTTTGGTCAAACCTTGCAGCTTCTGAAGGATCTCAGCTGATATTCTGAGCTGAAATTAAGATTTAAATGAGAAATCCTTTAATCCTCAGATTTTCTTTATTCTTATAATAAAACAATTAATTTACTGTTAAACTGAAAGAAAAGATTTTAAAAAATCCTCATCAATTTAACAAATTATTTCAACACTTAAAATCCTGTTTTTTACTTAAATATATATATTTGTTGATTTTTGCAATGATTATGAACAACACAAACAAAATAGAATAAAAAAGCAGACAAAACTAAACAAAAACAAGCAAAAGTTAAACATTTGGCCCATTACCATATACATATTCATCTTCCTGCTCAGGAGTCACAATCCAATCATGGTTACTAAACATGAATAAGGTAGAATGATACTTWGTGTCAGTACTAACTAGTACAAAGCTCTCTTTTCTATATATGAATGACAGCTGGGACAGTCATCCCTAGTACAAAGGGATGATATCATAGCGCAAAAGCTCTTATAAGGCTTGTAGAGATATTAAGTCCAATATAAGTCAAGAAGTGTTCCCATGTTTTCACAAAAACATCATCCTTATCATGTAATCGGCATGGTAGATAATCGAGACATATAGTTCAAGATGACCTTTTGCCATCGTACTTTAGATGGTGTGGTGGATTAATTATCTTTGCCACCTTGACACTGTCCAYCGTCCGTATCTAATAATATCTTATGACTGTTTCTTTAATCAGTGGCTTCAGACGTCAGAAGCTACAGCATCAAGATGGCCTCTTTKCACGTACCGATATGGTCACCTTGGGATTCAGAGCTTGATTATTCTCAGGTTCATTAAAGGTGGTGACCTCTATTTTTAAATTGTTGTTTAACTTGTCTAAATCTGTTAACTTAGAAGAAAACGCCTATTGGCATCTTGTTGTTCTGTCTTGTCCTAATTTGCTTTACTTAAGGTTCATTTCCTGACAACTTGTTATTAATTAACACACTATCCGAGATAAGATTCTGATGGTACATAGGTGGAGCGCTCCATCAAGTATTCGCCGGGAGGCAGAACTTGTTTAAGATACCTTGTCTAACCTTGGACTTTTAAGTTTTTAAATTTTGACATGTTTTGATCTTCAACGATTTTTTTTCTCTGATGTGTAATGATGCTCTATTTGTCTTTAAGATTTATTCATGTTGTGTTTTTGGCTTTATTGAAATGAATGTTTTATGGTCGTTATTTTGATTTGCACTATTTCCTTGTACTTGATGTTTTTTGCACTTATGGAGCAGACAATTAATAATTATTCCTTTTCTATTTCTGGTTTTGAGTATTGTCTACTCAAGAGGAGGAAATGTGGTGGATTAATTATCTTTGCCACCTTGACACTGTCCATCGTTCATATCTAATAATATCTTATGACTGTTTCTTTAATCAGTGGCTTCAGACGTCAGAAGTTACAGCATCAAGATGGCCTCTTTCCACGTACCGATATGGTCACCTTGGGATTCAGAGCTTGTCATTGGCTGTTAGGGACATGAGGCAGGTTGTGATTGGTTGTTCTTTATCACATGTTGAAAGCTGAAGGTATAACATTTCTCTTCCGCCCTCAGTCGGGCAGCCACATCTGACAGACTTCTCTGATTGTTTTCTGT